CAATTATAGTTTCTATGGAAATTGACAGAAGGCATTACTTTTGGAGCAATCCTTGTGTATGTGGCCCAGAAAATTCCTGTTCACTCAGTGCAGACCATGTAAGCCAAGAGGTTGGACACCCACAGGCATTATAGCACATTATCCTTAGTTTTCCCTTCCACATTTGCTCACAGACAAGGCAAAATGTAGGAGCTCCCTGCACATCTCTGCACTTTCTTTCACAGCTGAATCAGACAAGTGAAAGCATTGCCCACACTGAGGAGCAGATCAGTGACAACAGCAAAGTGGGCTGGTGAAGGAATGGAAAGTTGAGGAGGATGGCTGCAGACCCTACTGCACCAAACCTCAGAGAAAAGAATGGCAAAGTGTGTCAGAAACCACCATGCTTCACTACAGTGCAGGATAACACCAAGGAAATGAGAAGATGAAATGTAAATTATGAGTGGGAAATAGCAGATGTTCTTCCTCCAGGGTATAAACACAGCTATAATTACAGAGAGTAATGACATCCTATCAAGCAGAAGAACATTAGCTATGCAGATGAGAGCACAACAAATAAATTGACAACAAGTATGATTATTCTCCTTTGTAGAAATTAAGTAAGGAAAAAAGGCATAGGGGGGTCCTCAGGCAAAATGAAATGGTAACTGTAGACAAAAAAAAAGGGCTAGGAACATAAAAGCAGAGAACAGTTTCGTTTTCAAGGAAGTATGACATTCAGTAACACACAATAGCAAAACTGTATATTGAGTACCTCACATGGAACAAAGCTTCATAAATACGTTACCAGATCCCAGTGAATGTAACAGTGTACTCAAATCTTGTTTTATGTGATATGTCCCAGAATCAACAATCAGGTCACAGCTATGTCAGAGCAACACAATCTGTGTTTGATGGGAACATACCTGTATGAAAGTCTACTTAGATGCATTTTAAAGGGTTAATCTCTGAAACAACAGTAAAACGCAATGTTCATATATTCAACCACCTACCACTTTCTCATCTAGCCAAGCACAAAAGCACTCGTGCAAAATTAACCTGACATGAAGCTGTACAGTTAATTTTTCATTATTCCTTGAATATCTTGAGGGGGGGCACCGCCTCCCCCTCACAAACACATTCAGAAGACTCTCTTCTGTTAGGATTTGTTATGCTTAGAAAAGTTTGGAAATGTTTTATTTAATTTCCTTTTTTTTTTTTTTTTTAGGAGTCTCTTTTAATATTGAAATATTGATGCAAGGTATTGATGCAAGACTGAATTGGTAAAACTCAGAGCAAAATCCTCAATTCCTTAGCTCCATGTCAGCTCTGATGTGGACAAGTTAGAGGTGAGCTTGAACCTGCAGGTTCTCAAGGAAGTCCATGTTATTAACAGTTAGGAAGATGAACAGCATCTTTTTCAGAAGAAAATAGAATCTAACTTGAAGGAATCATTTTCAGAACTGCTCATAAGATTCATTCAGGAACAACTATGAAGTCCCACCAAATGGAATGAATATCTGTGCCACAAACAATATTAGCTGAAATAAGTAGTACATGTTGAGCTCTCTTTCCCGCTGTTAATGCTTGAAACCAAAAACTTTAAATTGAAAAATTTATACGAATTCATTGAATGTAGCACAAAAAAATGTTTGAAAATGTCATTCTGACCAGAAAACTGATGATGTTTCTACACAAGGCATTAACTAGCTTAACAGATCTGCCCTTTCAGTGCATTTAGAGTCATATTTGCTAACTCCCGTAGGAAAAGCTTTTCTTGAATACCTTCTGCTCTTTGTTATATTGCAGGATCAGCACAGCTGTGGAAGAGGGAACTCAGTTCATTTGTTTTTCATAGCATGAGACAGTACTGAGATAAAAGAGTGGACAAAGATAAATGGGGATGAGGACCCTGAGCATGACCGGTGCTGCTGGTCCAAGAAAGCAGTACTGGTCACTAGGGAATAAGCAGTTGTAGTGGCTGTGGCTTGAGGAGCCCAAGGACACAGAACTCAGCTCATATCCCATCCAGTGAGTACCTGTGACAGCAGTGGCACATGCTGGGCTATATTTTGTTACTGGTCACATTAACATGATTGGGATGCTTACTGTTCAGATGTAATGCCTCCAGCAAGAATAGATATGAGAACACGCTCTTAAGAATTTTCCATCGAATAGAAAGAGAAGGACCAAAGGGACAAGTAGACCCACTAGTAAAGTGATGGAGTCAGTAACAGAAAAAGATTTACATACTTATAAGCAGATGTATGGATTCAAATACCAGAAGTAAGCAGGCACATTGGGCTGCTTTACTGTCACACTGCAAAATAGACTTTTTGATTCTATGATAAAAAACAAATACAGGTATTAAACAGTGAGTTAGCTGAGTTGTATGGGAACACGGGCCAAATGTCCATAAGAACTGATACAGCCTACTTCTGTTCTTTGTTAACCTTCATGTGCAAAAACATCTCCAAATAGCCCAGGGAAAAAACAAACCTGGAATAGTTGTTTACATTTCATTTCTCTGTCTATCAGCCCTATTTTGATGCGGGATTGACAACCACAACCCCCACTCCTCAAAATGAAAATTCATACAGACAAAAGAAAAAATCCTGATTCCACAAAGTATTAAATTGACAAAGATTATCAAAACAATATCCTAAAGGAGAGAAATTTTCACAGGCATTCTGTCAGCTGTCAATCACATACTTTTATTATCCTTGTCTGACTGCTGTGATTTGCCCTTTGTGAGGGTTACGAGAGGAATTCTGCTTTTTACTTCCATTTTTGGTTTGTTTATGAAAGAGAAATTTTGCTGTCAAAATCCATATGATGATCCCTATGCACCTGAAATGCAAGACAGCACACAATACAGTACAACAGAAAAACAAGCAAAGCATTCAAAAAACTGATATGGTTCTGAAATATGAGCACGTTCACAAGATTCACATATGCCTCATCACTGAGTGATAAGTTAACACTTATTGAACATTCTCTTCTCCTTGGGTGCTAAGCCTGCTTGCTGTACCTTGTGGTTACTCATTATTATTCTTTCTTCAGAGGTCTCTACCAACTGATTTCTAAAATCACATTAAAAAACCTGTATTTCCCACCTCTCACATTAAGTATTCAGCAGAAGGCAGTCCATCTCATCCTGCAATCTGGTTTTGCATTGGAAAGAAAGAAAAAACCTTAAGAAGTACCCACATCCTCATGTGAGGAGATTTATTTTAGAGACATTCGAATGGTCATTAGAAAAAAAAATATTAAATATTTTAGAATTATGGAGAAATATGTCACTGATTCAATTTGTTATGCTTTTCGTGTATGTGTGTGTGAATGGCAGTCTTGGGTAATACCAGCTTCATATTATCAAGACAGAAAGATCTTTCAATTGGAACTATTTTCCTGAGCTATATTAAAAAAAAATAAATTGCTTCTTTGACTTTACAAACCTTAACATTACTGAATATTTTTTTCCACTCATGAAGGGAAAGCATGCAGCAAATCTAAGGAGCATACAGCAAATGCATGGAAATACACTGTAGAAATCTGGACATGCTGTATTTTAGCCAAGAGCCTCTGCCAAATTTAATACTTTATTTAAAAATAACAACAACAAACCAATCACTTGCAAGTGCTTTAAAGTGAAAACATGTATGTAAATTGTAGATTGCATCTTGCAAATTATGATTGTAAAAGCAGAACTGGAAAGTGAAGTTGCCTCTAGAGACTTTGCATCCTATGTTTGGTGGTTATTAAAACAAATTTAGTAGTTTAATCCTTCTCTCCTGTTGTCAGCATCACAAAGTTATTACACAGTCTCAAACTGCTGCAGTCTGTGGTTAAAAGGAGCATACCAGAGGAAGTACACAAGTGCTATTATAGGTCACAACTGACACGGTAGGTACCAGGGCAGATTTACACACACAAGAGATTCCATAACATCTGCTCACATTTTGTGTTGCTCAAGTCTGTGTTATTTGGTTTGTTCTTTAAAGAGTCCTGAAGTTGTTAAAATGGCTAAAAATTGCCCTTAAAACACAGGACAGATTTGTGTTATTTCACAATGAATGGAAGCATCCCTATTTCCTACTTTATGATGACTCACCAGAAGATCTTCTGATGACCATCATGATATTTCTGAGTTCTCTAATCTGTCAGTGTCCATAGACCTTCTGCTGTCCTTGGGCCTTCCCATCCTCATTGTGCCTGCTCTGTTGGCTTGGGGAAGAGCCCTTACTTACTTGTTCCCCTCTGTCTTTTTCTTGTCCCTCTTCAAATTTCCCTCTGCATACTCTACCATACTAACCTGCTTTATTTCAGTGTCCTTCTTCCTGGAACACTAATATGTGATGGAAAGCACAGCAGTAACAGTGGGGTAACAAAGTCCTAGGCTGCAGCAAGTGAAGATAAATCTAAATGAAGCAGCCAAGGACACATTATCAAAGAAGGAAATAAGCTGCTTACCCTTGGGAGGCCTCAAGGAAGCAGGCATCTCAGGGAAAAACCTCTACCTTCACTGCCAACCCTTAAATGAAATATGGGAATGACTGGATCCAGCTCCACCCCTCCCTCAGGTGCATTGCATGCACCGAGCTTCCCTGGGTTGGCCCTGCTTTCCCAGCAGGTGCTCAGTCACTGTTTCAAGCTGTGACTTAGCATTTCCGCTACACTTCCTTAAATCACAATACCTCTGGAGAAAATGTAGTTTTACTTCATTTTACATTTCCTAATCTTCCACTTCCATATTGCCTACAAATGCAATCACGTCCATGATTCATTACAACTTGTCTTTTTTTGTGCTTGTCTGTTCAACAGTCCCGTTTGACCAACATGCTTGGAATCATTCAAAATTGACAACAGAAGTTATTAATAAGTCAGATAACAAACTTGATTGGGCAATCATAAAATAAATCTTTGGAACAGCATTTAAAAGCTTTTATGATGTTATATCTGAAAAATCAATAGCAGTCAGTCATGTCTTTGGTGATTAACACCTTACAGTGGCTACTTACCATTACACATAGTTTCAGTCAATAGAGGAGTCAATTGCAGGCTCTTTCTATAAAATATAGTTGTCAAATACATGTCAGTGTGAGCTAATGGACTGAAAAACATGAATAGATAAGTATGATATTTGCAAAATACTTCTCAGGTATAAAGGAGTACAGTGCTATTCAAAGGGTAAAGATCCATTGGAATTATTTTCATCTATAGTTGTAGTTGCAGTTATTTCCAAAACAGTGAGGAAAGTTAATAGTCTAGAGGTTTGTAACATCTTCTAAACCAGGGTCCAATGATCTGAGGAAGAACGGAGATGAAGGGAAATGTCGTCATGTACAATCCATCAACCAAACCTCAGGCAAAGATAAAGGGTTAAAATCTTGTACACCTACAAACTGAAGAGGCTCTACTGTAAATGTGCTCTGAAGTGTGTATGATTGAAGTTTTGGTGCTATGGTTACAAGAGCACCTACATCTACACAGCTAGGTATTGAGGAAGGAATTGATCTTGGTTGTGTGAATAAATATGGTTTTATTTTCTGTCATCAGTATCTATGTAATTTTTTTTCATGCAGTAAGTAGATTAACTTTGGGATATTCCACTAATAACATTTTGTCCTTGAATGCAGTAATCCATTTCCAAGGTATGCAAAACTTATCTCTATGAAACTGCAGAGATAACTTAGATGTTGGTAGCACTGAGTTGAGTGTGGAATAGTCTTCTAGTCATCAAAGCCAGTGACAAAGCCTCGCGGTATGCATCCCAAAGTCCTGAAAGGAATTTATGACAGCCTCATATATCTTTTTAAATAAAAAGCAGTTCTGGAGGTTAGAAATAAGCTAACATAAACACAGCCTCACTATATCTTCTAATAACACAATGTGGTGAGAAACATGAAAGTTGCAAGAGCTTAAAGCATACTGGGATATCCTCTGCCAGATGTACATGTCCCTTACCTCATCTAGCCTCCCTTTTTTTGTTTTGTTTTGTTTGTTTGTTTACAAGCCATCCATATGGCAGCACCATTAAACATGCCATAAAAAGACTACTCAAGTTGTTGTCTTGTTACACTAATGAAATAACATGTTTTCAAAACCTTGCCATTCCAACTGCCATCTGTTATGAGAACCAAGCCTATCAGGATGCCATTTCATGTAAAGTTTAAGTGCCTCACCAGTGAATATAATTAACCATAATAGCATTTTATTAGCTTTAGTTACAACTGCAACTAAAATAACACTTTGCAAGCCATGCCAGTACACATAAAAGAGAAAGCAAGCATAATACATCAGCTAGGAAGGAGACAGCTATTCCCAGCAATTGCCCTTTTGTCTGGCCTAGCCATCAGGAATAGGAGATAATCCTCAAAAATCACTGCTACAGGGCATAAGCATTGCCATCAAGAGGAGAGCAAGGCAGGGGGTGACTGCTGAAGAATACTGAGGGAAGCCAGAAGTCGGGCTGAGCTGCAGGAGAAACGTGCTGGAGAACCACACAGGGCAGAGGAAGTTATGGTTGTTATATGCTAAAGTAAAGAAGGATCTCTTGGCCTATTTTGTCAATTTGGCTTCTTTTCACTGGAAGGAGTGCTGACATGGATCTCAGCTGGGATTAGGAGTATGGTGATATCTGGGAGGATGGCCATAACACGTAGCTGCAAATGGTATACCCTCTATATAGTAGAGTTGTAGCGATCATTGCTATTAAAACTTCACAAGGTTTGACTGCTCTCTTCATAACTTTATCTTTTTCTTCATAAAGTAATTGGAGGATCCTGACACGTCTGTTCCCTGGCATCTAACCCCAACCCAGATCACAGCTGAAGGAAGATAAGCGGGAAAGAAAGAAAAAGTGTAATACTTAATGAAATGAAAGAGGGCAGGGAAAATGTGCACAGTATACCAAATGGAGGGAAAGTGAAATACCTGCACAGAGGTAAACAGTTACACTGAAGGAGTGAAGCATTCAGTAAGAGAAAATCTCTCGAATTTTGTGTGCTGTTGCTGGCATCCATGGGTCTTTACTGAAGTTTCTGGAGACAGTTATGTATTTTGTGTATGTAGGAGACATTAGACTATACGTGACTGGTTTCCTCTTGCCTAGGAAAGAGGTAAAATATTGTTGGATGGATGTTACTACTCTGTTCTGTACCTGGAAATACTCCAGAAATGAGTGCTTTGGCTGTATCTGCCCCCTTTCCCCTTTCTTGTGACCATTTTCTACTTCTATAGTGCCCATTGTAACACATTACAGTCAAGACAGGTCTGTTTCTGCTTAGCTAGTTACTACTAATGAAAAACAACAAAAATGACAATAAAACACTTGAAACAGATGAAATAGAAATAGATTTCATACTATAAAAGGAAGCTAGATTTGGCTGAAATTAACTCCTAACTCTTTCAAATTACAGTTCAAACAAAAAAAATTTCCTGGTGAGTAATACAAAGAAATATAAACCCACTCAAGGGAAAACTTCGGTACTTCTTCTGTACTTCTATAACTGTTCTAAATAGGCAAGTTTATAATTTACATCATGAGCAGAGATGCTGTGCTCCTGAGTAATTTAAAACCTTTTTTTTGGGGGGGGTAGTGAAACTTGTAGTGGATGAACTTAGTGTTACCTTCAATCACATCAATTATCAGGACAGACAGTAGAGTTTGAATATGTTCAAAACACACACATACACACACACAAGAAAATAAACATTGATATTGAACTTTTTAAACTTAGTTTATGTACTGCAGCATTGCCATGTATTCCTTAAAGATCTGACAACTTAGTTAAGCAGCAACTGAGAGCCAAAGAGAACAGGTGTGGTACCACTAGTCACTTGAGTGGATGAGTCTCTGAGGGATTTACTTTGTTGTAATTCGATAGCGCAGTAGAACTGGGAACTGAAGCCAGCTGTCCTGATTTCCAATTTCATAGCAGAAAAGTTGGCTTTATTTTGCATCTATTTATTCCCCCCTAATAAGCTTTCCTGTCATTAATGTTTATGGAGAAGAAATCAAATCTATGTAATGTTGCCTGATAGTTGAAAGTTTCTACAAAATAGCTGCTGCATTAGCCTTCAGAATACAAGAGAATTTTACTGGCTGTTGTGTTTTCTGTGAGTGTGACTACAAATCCCAGCGTGTACAGGGCACCGCTGCTCACTGCATCGACACATGACATAAAGGGAGATCAGAGCTTCAGCCTGCTCAACCTTTTTAAACTTTGTCTGTTGCCTCTCTTCCTGTGGCTCAGTGTGGTACTTTACAATAAGTCACTCCATACTGAAACGCAACCCTGTATCTCCTGGCTGCTACCATTACTTCTTGGTGTTATGCAACAAATTTGATAAATTATTATTTTAAAGACTTCGTGTGTTCAACGCCATTCAACTTCCTCACTCTGATAAATAAACCAAAACCTTCCCTGGCTGTCCTGACATCATCTAGAATGACATCTGGAAGTACATTTAAAAATTCTTTCTATCTTTATGCGTATTTTCTTCCATACTTAGCTAAATCAATGAAGCCCACATCTACTATAACACACATAAATTTCCAAATCTTCCTCTAATTCCTAGTCCGAAGACTTCCAGAAACCTTTCTGCTTGGAACACACGCTTTCGCTTCTATCTTGCAATGTGATTTCTTTAATGTATATTCTTACACTGGTATTAAACACCTACATAATGCTGTATTTGAAACATCACACTGTTGCTGATGTTATTTTGTAAATATTACTCACAGAAAGTCTGGATCACATTTTATCTTTCATATAGAATAACTACAAATAGCTATAAATAAAAGAGCAATAGAATGTTTTTGCATTATATGCAGAAGAATATTTTACAGTAATATTACTTTCAATATTGAGTTTATGCATAATATGCTATGTAATCTAATAATTTTTTTTTGTTTAGCAGAGGATAATGTGAAACAGATAGAAATAATGTCTTCTGTCTATTGTCAAGTGTCTAAGTTGGATCTCTTCTTCTTATACCTTGGGGCTAATGCTTCTAAAACTCATCCAAAACACATCTTAAGTTTCATGTAATTAATGTTTTCTTTCTATAGCCTTCAATCTTTCCATCCCTCTCCGTTCAATCCTTCAGTCTTTTTCTCCTCATCTTCAACTAATTTCCACCTATTCTTCCTGCTTGCAGCATTCTGTCTTACCTGGACTCAATCCAAGAGAGCAATGATTCGAAAAATCTCTTCTGCAGTCCCTGTTTTCCAAGAATTTCTTTCTACAGAGTGACAAACACAGTTGCTTAATAGGTCCCCTTGAACTTCATGGGAAGTTTGCATGAGAAATGTTATTTATATTATGTATTTTGGCAGAATCACGATGATTAGCTTCAAGCCTTCAAAAGAAGACTTTGAAGTGTGGGTTGAGGCTGCTGTGGGGATGAGTGGTGGTGAGGGTCTGCATGAATAGGACCAGGATGGGATTTCACTGCCTCTATCCTACAATCTGTGTTAGGTTCCTGATGCGGCTGATTGCTAGAATACGACAAAACTGGCTACTGGGAGCATGGACTGGGAAGACTCCCACTGACCACCAGAATTGGTGCACTGGAGCTGTGCATTGTTTAAAACACTCAAACTAAACCTTCCTTGCACTTCTTTCCTCTTTCGTTTGAAAACCCTGTTGAAGACATCTGTTACCTTATACTTTGTAATGACTATATGCATTACAATTTAGACAATTACAAACCTACAAGCCCTATAAAATCCATTGAAAATCATATACAGAGCATCTGAGTATTTTTCATGCTTGCTACTATATATATATTTTTTTTTTTCCTATGAAACTGACATAATTATCCTAGCCACAGACAAGTTAAGTGGCTACAATTGCATTTATACCTGGGGACAAACTCAGTTCTCTTATTACATCCTAAGTGACAAGATTAAATGCTAAAAAACATTGGCCAGTCAAGGTTTTCTTAATAGTGAAAATACCACTGTAAATGTAGGTGAAAAAAGATGCTATTTATTTAAAAGTTAAATGGAAATTAATTGCTAACCCTTTAGAATTCCCCCAGCACATTAGAACAAAACAGTCCAAACAAGAAAATTTGCAATGCCTGGTACAAGTCGGAGTCGGGGTATAAATTCATATTTATTGTTTTCAAAGAAAACAAATGCCTTTAACTAAGTTCATGGTCAAAGATGTCTTTGCAAGTTCTACAGTTGTTCTTTGCATAGTAATACCACGGCAAATCTGTTACCTGACCTGATATCATTAATGCCAGAGGGAAAGCTCCAACCACATCCAGAGGCAACCGGTTCAAAACTGCAATTCTCTTTATATTTGATTACATGCATCAGGAAAAATGACAATGTCTGAGTCTCAGCTGCCACTAGCATGTTCAGTATTTTTCATGTAAGTATTAGTAGTGCTCCTGTAGTTCTCAAGATATACATATGAGATTATGTTAAAAGTAACTTTCTTGTACCACTAATGAGCATATCAGATTGCACGTGTGTAATTTTGCAGCCAAAAAAAATAGCATGTGATGGCAAATCAATAATAACTGTGATTTTCCAGACATGATTGCAGAAGAAACACGAATGCTAAAGGATGACAAAATACAAATTTTGGGAAGAAAAAGTTTAAAAATAAGGAAAGCAATTTTGCTAGGGAAAGTATGTAGATCTTAAATAAAGATTTAAGCCCAGCCTTAAAAAAATAATAATATATTAACAACATTTCCCCAAATATGTCCAAATCTGTGCTATGCAGCATGACATGCCATGTGATCAAGATGTTCCAACTCTATCATCCATATATTTAGAGCACTGGTGCTTACACTTGTTTGCTTGCTGTATGGAAAAATATAACTTCCTGCAAGCTTGTAGAACCAAATGACATTGGAGAAGTTGTGGGAATCATATATTTATTCTGTGAAAAGCTGTTGAATAGTTGCCACTTTTTATCCTAGAGGTGAATTAACTGCTAAGATGAAGAGAAGAATACAAAGAGGTTTAAGTCAAGGATGAAGTAATCCCAATTGCACTTCAGCTTCATCTGCAGAACACTCAGGGATCTTTCTGAATTAAAAAAAAATCATAAATAGATTACTAAAAATATATGTGGTGGCAAAATATGTGAAAGTGTATGCTCAGAATCTATGGCTATTCTCCTTTTGCCTTTCACTGTAAGCACAGCCTGGTTCACTTCATTACTGAGAAATTTTCTTCAGTTATGAGGATATTTCCAAACAGAGATGTACTATTTTCCAAGGAAGGTAAGGGGTAGTGTAATCAATAACCAGGCTTATTTCTGAGAGAAAACTGGCTCATTTTTAGAATAAAAATATGTCTTGTGTTAGGGAAGTGTGATTTTCACAAAGCAAAAAGTCCAAACCCCCAAATCCTATTCGTGAAAAAGAAGAAATAGGGATTTTCACACTGGAGCAAGCCAAAGGCCTGAATATCTCAATGTCCTGTTTGTCACCACCACAGCAAGTAACTTCAGAGGAAAGCACAAGAGCTCCCTCAGGGAGATTATTTGATACAGTCTATTGCCCCTAGGTAATTTATAAGTGTAATTATAGCTTCAAAAGATGGAAAATGAAATAAGTACTTAAATTAAAAATTTTAGTATGGGTCTTGAAAATCTTATGAGTCTTAAATATCTAATGTTTCTTCCAGGGCACTGAATGCAAGACATTGAATACATTTTTGTATACTTCTGATCATAAGGTTATAAGTTACCTTTGCTTAATTTGTTAGCAACGATGTGTGAACAGGAACGTATATTAAAATTTGTAAGGCACAGCTGCTAGAAACAGCTCAAATCATCTCAATATCTGCAACTCATTAAAGCATTTCTGTCATTTCTATTGATGACTCAAACATTCGGAGAGAACAAAAAGAGAGTGAGCAAGAAAAAAACAAGAAAGGGAGAAAAATGTTTCTAATCCAATGGGTAAGCAATTAAAGTAACACCCACATAGCAGGAGTGGCACTATGGGATCCAGGGGTGCACAGGGATGATGCACAGCAGAGGGCGGGCAGATGCTATGTCAGTGATGCAGACATTGCAAGCTGAAGAACATCAGTGACCGTCAGTGAAGCATTAATCATGATGGTCTACCTGAGAGTGGCCTGATGTTAATGTGAAATGGCAGCTGAGAGCAGCTCTATACAACTTTCTCAGCCTCCCTAAGTAATTGGTAACCTCTGAACCCTGCTCACATGAGTAGCTGGGGAGAGCTGCTCCCAGTTAAGCAGAGAGAGGTCAAGCTGAAGCCTGATTGTCTGGACCTTCAAACATGTGACCTTCTTCCTCCAAATTTTCTTTCTCACACCTAAAGATCATGCCACTGGCCCCCAAACCTGCACTTTGATCAGTGCTCAGAGTGCTTTGTTTACCTTGTGTGCTAAGCCCGGCCAAATGTGCTTGAACTGTACAGTATCGGTTTTAACCTGGTCCTTTAACTCTGGGCAAAGAGAAACTCGTCTGTCTTAGAAAACTTCTACCTTATTTAGTGCTGATCCTGGGTTTTGCAAAACTGACAGTATTGCTAATCTAATCCTGATGTCTGCAATGATTTTTAACACTTAGAACATCCAAATGGTGTTTAGCTGGAGCAATTTTCTGAACTTTTGGGTCCTGCATTTTTCTGGGGCATATTCTGCTTATAGATTGAATATGACAGTATGTCCTGATTAGCCCAGCATTGAGAAAAGGGAAACCAAAGCCTCATTGCAGACTGGGAAGCACAAAATAATTACTTAACAGGTACTGCAGCATTTCTACTGACACAAAGCATAGTGCATGAAAGATTTGTCAGGGCTTTTCAGCAAACAAAATCTTGGGCTATTTTCTTTGGTTTTTTTTTTGTTTTTTTTTTGTTTGTTTTGTTTTGTTTTGTTTTTTTAATGTTCCTCTGGTTTCTGTTTTTATCTGTTTTCTTTATTGGTTGGTTTGTATTTTTGTTTTCATTTTTAAATAGAAAACCTGAAAAAATGAATGCCAACCTCTGCTCAGTTTCACTGGGCTTTAAATATTTTTATTTGGGCAAATTCATCCAAATACTCCAGTCAAAATTTCGGTTTTGGTAGAAATTATTTTTAAAGCAGGCCATTAATAATGCAGCCGTGGTCCTGCTCACAGTGATATTAACAGTCTGGCACTCTGTGACATTGAATCTAACATAGCAATCATTGGCAAGTCCTAAAATTGCTGCAAGTTTTGCCAATACAATAGGATATCAAAAAATTTGGTACTCACTTAACCTAGTCAAATTCTCTTACAGTTTAGAAAGCCAACTGCCTTGCAGTGACCGTCAATTTTATTGTACAAATCAATTTGTCTCCACTGACGGAAAATAATTGCAAAGCAAACAAATTATCCATGCTACATTGAACCCTATTCACTCCAGGGACGCTGAGCTTACAGCTTGAGAAGATTTCCCCCTGCCAGTCTCAAAAATAGAGCTTGCAATTTAAAAAAAAAATAAAAAAATCTCACTGCTCTTACTTTTAATGCTTTGGGAGAACTTAGAATATAAATTTTGCATTGGTCTAGGCATTAAGATGCCATTAGGTGGAACTTTTCTGAGTGAATCCAAATCCATTTCTATGATATGTCTTCATATACTAAATTTTTAGAACAAAGAACACTGTTGTTGAAAGAGAGAGTTTTGGAAGCTGCTGAATACTTGTGAAGTCACTCCGGATCTTATGTAAAAGCACAGTCCAGCAGTTTCGTATATAGGCCAATATCCACAGAGGGATTTAAACTCCTGAACTGACTGTAGGCTTGCAGTGAGTTTACTCAAATTTCACTCTGCCCTCTTGTCATCTGCCATTGGAAACATTTAAATTCTGTCAACATGTGTAATGCCCCAGCAGTTCTGCTCCTGAAAATTCTCGAAAACACATCTGCTCATGGTGTCAGTCTGGCTGCCCTGCTTGGAAGATGGAGAACCTGTCTGTAGAAAGTGTGGGTGCAGGTGTTGCTTCCCAGTAAACCTGATACTAGTAAGAGCAATAACAAGAATTCCATTGCAGAGGTGAACAGAGCTGGACTGATTCCAGACCTGGTCTCCTTTATATGAATGCCCTGCCTTGAGCAATTCCCTATTTGCTTTTTCTCTCTCTAATATCACAACTCTAAAAATACTTTAATCAAAAGTAAGATGAACTGAACTCCTCCTAGGGAGGAAAATCAGATAGTTTTTGTCCCTCCTCTATGCCCACATGGAACCTCCCAGAGGACAGATAGCCTCCA